TCTTTCAGAAACCAGAGCAGCATATGGGAGTATTTGCCCCTTTCCCCAGAGATGGAGACGAGCAGATGACAGGCTGCGAGCATGTGTTAGTCCCACCAACGCGCGCTCCAGCCAGCTTCCCATTAAGGGCGGCAGTTGCTCCAGACCCAAATGTTAGCAGTTTTCAATTAGCAAATGGCAGAGGAGAGGGATTCCTGGGGGACACGCTGAGCAAGTCAAGCTCTATCACTTGTCACTCAAGGAGCTCACGTTACTCTTCTCCCCGAGAGGTTCTGCTTAAAATAAAATCCTCCAGCAGCCCGAGGGGGGGAAGGCAGGCAGCCCGCCCGCTCTCGCTGCCAGAGCTGCTAAGAAGGGGATGGGTGGCTGATTTCTGGGGTCACCCTGAGGGATAACGGGTTAACCCCTGCCACAGCCGATGCTGCAACAGGGCTTTAGCTCCCACCCCCCAAAAAGCAGGGAAGCTTGTACCAGCGTATGTGGAGGGTGAACAGCCACCATGGGGTCTTTTCCGAGGGACTAGCTGGCAGCCTGCCCGGGTGGCAGAGAACAGCAAGTTAAACTTTAACCAGCTCCCAGAGAGCCTGGAAACCCAAGTAAAAACAAAGGAGAGTGGGGAACCGCAGAGAGAGCAGCGGGGAGCACCGGGCACCTCCAAGCTGCCACGGGGGTGACAGCCTGGGGTTGCAATGCTCCCTGGCCGGGCTTGCTCAGAGCCATGAACCCCCCAGGGCAGGATCTAGAAGCAGCCCCGCGGTCCGTCTGGATCTGCCGCTGAGCCACAGCAGGCCCTGGAGCCAGACTCGCCTCCCAAGGGAAAGGCACTACCCCAGACAGCCGCCCCAACATGCCACAACCTGGCCCTGTCTGAAAACTGTCCCTGGCCACCACTACGGGACTGGGTGCGGGCCAAAAGGATCAGCCCTCTGCCCCTGTGTGTCAGCATCCCGCGGGGCGATGGGACTCCCTGGCAGAAGGCATAGGACACCCCACTCCTGCAAGCTTGGAAAGCCTGAGTCTGCAGTGACAGGCATGAAATGGAGCCGAGTTTTATCACTATTTACTGCTTCTCTTTGATGTTTTAAAAATTTTTCTTTCCTAACCTCACTAAAGAGCATCTCGGCTAATTAGCCAGGAGCTGACAAAGCCATCAGAAGGCGCTGGCTGTGCCGGCAGGATGGCTGGGAGGTGTCAGACCCTGCAAACAAAGGTCCCCTCCTTTTCCCTTCTCCCTAACGAACACCCTCCCGCACTCAACATCACAGCCGGGCGTTTGTCTCACACAAAGGCGACGCTCAACCTCCAGGCAGGGCAATTCCCTTTGTGCAGGCGATATGTTCGCGATATGTTCTCCGTCCCCCATGACAGGTCAGTCTTTGAACCCATCTGGGCTCCGGGAGGCCTCCTGCCTTCTTCCCCCAGCCTCTCGCTGCCCTGCACCCCTGCTCCATCCCTCTGCCTGGTATTTAACTTAAACTGGAGGGACAGAAAATCGACGCTTTGGCTCCTAAAGAAGTTAAGGTGGAGTGTTTTGCCTCGGGGAAAGGAGCAGGGAGAGTCTGGTCCCTGCTTCTGGGGGGGGAAGGTGGGGGTAAGGGCAGTGAGGCAGCTGGATGGACAGACGGCAGCCGCACCTTCTGCCAAGCCTCGTGGGAACAGGGGTACGACCACGACAGAGGTGTCAGAATCAAATCAAATCAGCTCCACAGACAGTTTGGGCTGTTTCCTGTGATGGCCTCACGTCAGCGGGATCTTATTGAGCACGGGAACTGGGATGGGCTTTCCCCGTGTGACAACGGACAGAGGGGATCTGCCCCAGCCAGGACACACAAGATAGGACCAGGCAGCCTTATCCCCACATCACCTTCCCAACCCGTTCCCTCTTGGGCCTGCCTTCCTTAGCAGGAAAAGCCACTGGGACACAGCTGATCCACCACCAATCCACCACCAGCTCCGCAGGAACAAAACAAGGATAAAAGGGAGAAGCCCTGAGACCTGCAGTTTTCACCGGGAGCTTCTGCAGGGAAACAAAGCAGCAGACGTGAGGAATGCAACTGGCCTATTTGCCCGGGCTGCTCCGTGCCTCCGGCAGCGCGGACATGCCTCAGCTTGTCGTTTCAAGAGCTATTGTTGCTCGGGGCTGGGGGCCTCTTTGTTTCCTTTACCCTTTCACCAGGCTTGGTCATAGCCCGGTATTAAATTATTCAAATCATCTCGCTGGGCTTCACAGCTGAACCACTGCACCGAGCGCACAGGCTGCGAAATCCCGAGGGCTCCAGCCCTCGCCGTGAGCCCCCGGCCCAGCACAAAGCATGCTGGTTCACACTGGTTCCCCCTGCCTTGAGCAAAGGGTCCCAATATTCGAGCCGGTGACACCTCCAGCCCCAGCACTGCTGTGCAAAGACATCACTAAGCCATAAACCAACCCACCTAAGGCCAGCACGTCAGTGGGAACAGGGGAGATGCCAGGAGGCTCAACGCTGGATTCAGCAGCCCAGCTGGGGCAGGGAGAGCCCAGCTCTCTGGGCTGCATGTCCCCTGGAGTGGTGGCGTGTTGGTGCCACTATTGACAAAGCAAAAGGTGGCAGAGACTTCAGTCCTGCCCACTGTCCCAGCGGCCCTCAGCCCTGGCGAGGCTGTAGCAGGAACACCAGTCCCTTCTTCTGGGATGTGTTTGCCTGTGGTGGAGGCAAGGGGAGCCCCGAGAGCAGGACTGTGCGGCTGCAGGCTGAGGTCAACACAGCCAAGGGAAATCTGTTGCTGGAGGAGCTGGTGATGCCGACAGCTCAGCGCAAGGAGGAGAAGCAGTGGCCCAGAGGGGCTTTGAGGCAATTTAACCCAGCCCTGCAATTATTCCAGTGCCCAGGATGGTCTGGGAGCGGAGAACACCTTCACCTCCGCCGACACCGGGCTGCCAGAGCCATCCCAGTAACCTGCAGCACAAGGCAAGTGCCAAGGGACCAGCAGAGCCTTTGAACGCCAGTCAGCTTCCTGGGATAGCAGGGTGGAACCGCCTGAAAAGGCAGCTCCACAAGAAACAAAAAACGGCGGGGAAAAACCCATTCACTCCCCCTGCCAGGAGCCAAACAGGGAGGCTGCGTCTGCAGTCAGGGCTGCACACGCCTCTCCCGGCTGGACGGGATCTGCTCCCTTCCCCAGCCGGAGCCTGGGAGGCGAGGGAGGAAAGAGCAGGAGACCTGGAGAAATTCATTACCTTTCACATGACAGAGGGATCAGTCGGCTTCTACCAGAGCCTGGTGAGGTTTTCCTCATTGAAAACAGGAAAGAATCACCAAAATAATTAGAGAGATTTCATCTCAGCCAGCTTATGAAAGCACTGACTTTATACACAACAGATTGGCAGCAGCACAAAGATGGATGTGAAAGGCAAGAGCATTTGCAATGTCAGACAGATCAGAGACAGAAGCTCATCAAAAAATGGCCCAGGGCAGATGTAAGTTAAAAAAAGACGAGCAGGAAAAAAAGGGAAAGGAAACGACCCTTCTGGAGATAAAAAACTAACTCCTGCCTGTGACACGGTGATATGCCCCCTCCAAAAGGATTCCTGTTGAAAACCCATCATCTCCCTGGAGAGATCTGGGTCAAAAAACTTCAATTACTGACAAGCGCTCGCTGTGTTTTGCTGCCTTCCGCTAGCTCAGCTGGGAGTCAGTGAGCTGGTCGGCAGCAGGATTTAGGGGCCTGAGGACAAATGTCAGCTGGAGGATCCTCCGGTGAGCTCCTGGAGCCAGGGGAGGCTGTAATTGGAAAGCTCCAGGCAGCTTTTCAGGAGAGCGAGCAGGGCTGCGCCTCCCGGAGAGGCTGCTCGCGCGGGGTTCAGCCAGCCCTGGAGGCCAGGACCCTCCAAAGCCTGATGAACCACTCAACAAATGGGTGAAATGTTTTAAGGGGGGGATGGAAAAGGACAGACTTGTCTAATTAGAAAAGAGGTTTGCACTTAGTCACCCAGTGTAGCGCCTGGGGCCCTAACTCCAGACGCTGCTGTACAAAGCCTGACAGCTCGCTCAGACACCCAGCTGTCAGCCTGGGCTTTGTAACCAGAGACAGGTTCCACTGGGAAAAACAACCTCCGTGCTCCTCACCCTTCTACACAGGCACTTCCAGCAGGGAAGGGCAGAGCCCCAGCAGGACCTCCTGACCACAGCGCCGGAACTCCAGGGACATCTGCAACTTCCAGGGCAGCAGCTCTCAGGCACTGGAGGTTCACAGTAACCCTCGTTGATTCAGTAAGCGAGACCAGCTCCAGTTCCATGGGAACCATCGTTAGGAGCTCCTCGTTTCCAAACCAGTGCCTTCAGAGCACAGCTGAGGAGCTCCTGAGTCCAGGGATGCAGGTCCAAGCCAGGCCGTAGCATGCAGCAGCAAGGGCAGGCATGCCAGGCGGCTGGAAGTGTCTCCGCTTCTATATGACGAGGCTGGATATGGTCCCTCTCAGCTAAAACTCACTGGGAAGGTGACTCTTCCACGGCAGCTGAAACACAAAGGGCAAGGACTAAGAATAAACCATAACCCACCATCTCGATGAAGCTACAGAGAGCCTGGCCCCAAGCAGGCCAGATACCCAACAGATGGGCACCACAATCCCTTTCCCACTACCCCAGGAAGCTGCTGCAAGGCCTCAGTAGTGGCACAAGCAGGAGGCAATGCCCAGCATACAGAGCCCAAGCAGGAGGAAATGCAGTCTCTTGAGGCTTGCGCCGTCCTCCTCCTCCTCTCCAGCATGCCTGGCTTCTCCCAGTTATTCCTGTGTTTGCAGTGGGATTGAGAAAAGGGCGCAGCAGCGGCCTCATGATAAAGTGGGCAGAAGTCCAAGCCAGTCAAAAACAGTGCTGGCCACATGGGAGGAAACCGCAGAGCGGTGCAGAACTGCCACCCCAAAGGTGGAGCACCGCTTGCCTGTGCCAGCACCCTCTCCAGGCCGGATCGCAGCCAGAGCTGACAGCAGCAATGACACCAAACGTGTCACCGGCTCCTGTGTTCTCCCTGGAGAGGTTTCCAGGCAGACTGAGCTGCGTGAAAGCCCAAAGTCAGATCTCAGCTTTTCACAGAGCTCCCGATGCTTTTTGCACCCTGGTTACTGAGGGACGCTGGAGCAGGCGAGGCTGCTGCCCTGGCACCACTGCTGCTGAGCTGGTACTTCCAGCAGAGGGAAGGAGGGTCGGGATGTCAGCCTGGGCAGTGCAGAGGGACAGCAGTGAGGCCATGGTGGGGGCTACGTGCTCAGTCCCTGCTCTTACGGTGATGCAGGTGGGAGCCCACAAACCAGCTGCCACGGAGCACAGGGTGACTTTGGCAGCGGAAGGGGAGAGCAGCCTGCAGCTTTCCTGCAGAAACAAAACCCTTTTACTCCCGTGACAAATGCCCTACTTGTTCCCGAGCCTGGGGACTCAGCCATTCCCCATCCCCTTCACGTGGCAGCACACGTCACGTGAGAGCTCGGCACTCGCAGGGAAGGAACAGGAGCCACAGCCGATTCCGGTGTGCCGGGGTAGTCAGCTGGGCCTCCTCCCCTCCGGGGTGTAATTAGCCTCCTTGAAGTGGGCTGGGACTGGAATCCCTCAGCCCAGCACTGAGGCCATAATCGGCCTGGCAGAGGAGGAAGAAAGGCCCCTCCAGCAGTCTGGGCCAGGCTCCCATCCTACATCCAGGCAACGGAAGGGCAGGTCACGCCATGGGCACGTTTTAACTGTGCAATGATGCTGCCTTTGGCCCAAGCAGAGAAGAACCACCAAACCATCACTATCTTTTCCAAACCACAATGGAAAGCCAGCAGCCAAAATGACGCCTCAAATAGCAGTTTCTATTTCAGCAGCATCAATTAGAGAGCTGCTCTTTTTGGATACTCGGTGGACCGCCAGCACACCAGCTCCCCACCGACCGCAGCCTGGCCAGCACACCTGCCTGGGAGCGCATGAGACTGCCTCTGCCACCCCTTTGCTCCCCAGTGGAAGTGGCAGTGTCACAGTGCTGCATCATAGAAAGGGAGTTTTTATGGGCTTCAAGTTATTTCTACTCACCTACTGCTCTAGAGGGACTGGAATAACACAGAGTTTACGTGCCAGGGTTACTCGGTACGGCTCCGGTCACAAGGCATTATGTCTGGCTGAGCCCTCATGGCCGGAATCACGATAACGAAGCCTCTACTCACGCTTTACTGCCAGCAGTGTGTTCCCGTGGCAGCAGGCTACGGAGGTCACCAGGTATGGATGTGTCTCCTCCAGCTGTACTGGCCTCGGTGCTCCCGTTTCCTCGTCCTTCCGTCCCAGGCGTCCTCTGGCTCCCTTCCCCCATGTGCACACCTCACCATCTGCAGAGGGATATATACATGTTGGGGCATACAGAGCTCACCAGCGAACAGGTCTCTCGTCTCTCTGGTACCACCCTGGGCTATCTCCAAGGCCACACCATGGACTGCAGGCAGAGGAAAGCCAGGGCCTGCTGCAGCCCAGGACATGCGGGTTTCAGCCTCACCTGCTCCAATGGCCACAGTGAAGGCATCTCCACAAGCCACCACGGTGACCTTCATCGCCTGGAGCCCCACAACCAGGTGGGGTATGCGGCTGTTGCGGCAGGAGTTGGTGCCGTGCTGGTTGCTCCCAAAGGTGTAACACTGGCCAGAAGCTGACAACAGAGAGGAGAGAAACAACTGAGTGTCACCCGAGGATGCACTGAAGCCACTGAACCCCATTGTCACAGGAGCGACAGCGAAAATGCAGGTCGCCCCTCAGGGATTTGGGCACACAACCCTCACCCGTGACTGCAGCCGAGTGCGCTGTACCGATGTCAGCACACACAATCGGCTCTTGGTTCAAGGGGGATGACTGGACACATGTGAACACAGTGGCCTCTTCCACCTGGTCCTCCGGGGAAGGCTCCTCTGCCGAGCTGATCCGATCCAGGCCCAGCTTGTTACACCTGCGTGGGGAAAAGCACAGTTCAGAGCGGCTGAATGCAGCCTGGCACAGACACCCCGGAGACAAATCCTGTCCTAGCATAACTGCATCACCAGTAACAACACACTGGAGAGTAGGATCACGCAGAGATGCCTCCTGCTCCCTCTTCCTGGGCCAGACAGGCCCAGGAGGCTGTAGGCAAGCTCTGGAGCACAGACCCTCACCCCCTTACCTGTTGCTCCCACAAGCAAGAATCTGGTTCTTCACTGTGAGGACCATGGAGGAATCGATGCCGCAGACAACCCTCTGAGCCTCGTGGTCTGGCGGGACCGTGACCTGCTGGGGCGAGTTGTGGCACTCCAGAGTACCCAGCCCCAGCCGACCTGGCAGGAGGAGGAACAAAGCAGGGCACGGCTGATGGCAACACACAACCTGAGCACACCTCCATGAACAACGGCATTGACACAGCTGCTGCAAGAGCCCATCCTGGGACCTGTGGCCAGGAAAGGCAGCGAAACCCAAAGCGTGGGGGCCCTGGTATGCAGTGAAGCAGCTGCAACTCTTCCACGCCCACCTAGCCTGGCACATCTGGAAAGGACTGTGGGCAAGCAGGGCCAGCGAGGGGAGCAGGAACAGGCAATGGAAAGCACAAGCCCCGTTTTGCAAAGCAGACATCTCTTACCATTATCCCCCCTGCCCCAGGCAAACACTTCCCGTTCGTTGGAAACCGCCAGGACGTGAGACGCGCCACAGGCCACCTGCACCATCTCGTAGCCCAGCAGGGCCTCCACGATCTTGGGCTGGCAGGGGAAGAGCAGCAGCCATCAGCCGAGACCTCCCAGCCTGCCCGGCTGCTCCCATCCCTCCCACCCGGCCCCCCCAGCCTCAACACAGAGCTGGCAGCATCCCAGTTTTCATCCAACACAAACACCAAAGAATTTTTTTTTTTTGTTCCAAACAGTCTTCAAAGGGTTTAGAGACTACGTGCGCACAGCACAGAAGATAACGCAAACATCTCCGGGGCGGAAGAAAGGAGCCAGCGCAACGGTTTGGAGAGGGAGTAGGTTCAGCCGAAGGGTTGGGATTCGCCCCCCTGCCCATGTGGGGAGTGCCAGGGGCTGTTAACGCACGCTTTGAGCAGGCAGGGGCTTGGTGCAGGATGTGTTGGCTGAAAGGCTCTTGTGCAGAGGAGCTGTGAGATATTCATTAGGGTATGGAGAGACCAGGATCTCCGCGTTCTGCCCAGCCCCTGCTGTGACCTGCTGTCAGATCTGACACCTGGCCACAGCGAGCCTCATTCTCATTATCTTCTCCAAGTGAAAAGCACCATTTGTTGGGACCTGGCTGCTGCTCCCAGCTGGGCCCTCCCCAGCAATAAGCACCACGCACAGCTCGGCTCCGGACAGAGCAGGACCGAAGGAACCAGCTGACCACAGCGACAAACAGCAACCGATCCCTGG